GGGTGCCGGAGCCGGTCCAGAAGCGCATCGTGTTCTGGTCGTTCCCGCGCAGCGAGCGGGAGATATGCATGTACTCATCGCTGGGGTACCAGCCCCCCGAGGGCGAGCACGATGCACGGGTGCCCTTCACCCGCGGGCTCCAGCTGCTGCAGAGCGGGGCTGTGGACCTGGTGCTGCAAGTAGGTAAGTGATGGCCAGCGACCCCTGCCGGCGAGGCTGGGAGGTCCAAGCCGGGGCAGGGGAGACCCAGACCTCGGACTTCCAGGCCCAGGCAGTAAGAGACATGCGACCAGGGCTGTGCAGTTCCAGTCCCGGACCTGGTGTCTTGAAAAACACACCTGGTGGCGCCAGCAGGTGTGGTGTCGTGGTTAAGGGGGCTGGACTTCCACATGGCCAATGGCGGTTCAAGTCCCGGACCTGGAGGCTTGCTTTGTCACTTTCTCTTTCTTTCTCCCCACCCCGTTTCTGTCCCTCTCTGGTCAAACTAAAATAAATAAATAAATACGGGACCAGCAGGTGGCATGGTAGTTAATGGTGCTGGACTCCCACATGGCTAATCACAGTTCGAGTCCCAGATCTGGTGGCTTGCTTTCTCTCTCTTTCTCTCTCTCTCTCTCTCACTCTCTCTCTCTGTCCCTTTCTGGTCAAATGAAAATAAATAAATAAATAATGTTAAATAAAACCGTTCTTGAAAAAAAAAGTAAATAAATAAAGTTAAATAAAATGATTCTTTTTTAAAAATTCTTTTTGAGGGGCCGGTAGATGGCGTGGTGGTTAAGGGTGTTGGACTCCCATATGGTCAACCATAGTTTGAGTCCTGGACCTGGTGGCTTGCCTTCTCTCTTTCTCTCCCTCTCTTTCTCTGACTGTCCCTTTTTTGGTCAAATAAAAAAAAAAAATACATAAATAAATAAAGTTAAATAAAGTGATTCTTTTAAAAAAAAACTTCTTTTTGAACTTTACATATTTATTTTAATTTGACCAGAGAGGGACAGAGTGAGAGAGAAAGAGAGAGGGCAAGAGAAAGCAAGCTGCCAGGTACGGGACTTGAACCGCGGTTGGCCATGTGGGTGTCCAGCATCCTTAACCACCACACCATGGGCTGGACCCAAAACTATCAAAACTGATCTTAGACTATAGAATTCTGGCAGTGGGGTCCAGTGAAGGTAAGTGGCAGGAATTTAGACCTAAAGGTAAAAAATTACTTTAGGGGGCCAACAGGCAGTGTGGTGGATAAAGGCGCTAGATTCCCACATGGCCGACTATGGTTCAAGTCCCGGACTCGCTTTCCCCTTCTCTCTCTCTCTCTCTCTCGGTAAAAAAAAAAAAAACAAAAAAAAACCTAACAATAATAAATGGAATTAAATAAATAAATAATTCTCTTTTAAAAAATTACTTTAGGGGGTCGGCCGGTGGTGTGGTGGTTAAGGGCGCTGGACTCCCACATGGCCAACCATGATTCGTGTCCCAGACCTGGTGGCTTGCTTTCTCACTTTCTCTTTCTCTCTCTCCCTGGTCCAATTAACATAAATAAATAAATAAAGTGAAATAAAATCATTCATTTAAAAAAACAATTATTTTAGGGACCAGCAGTTAGCGTAATGGCTATGTCGCTGGACTCCCATGTAGTCGACCACAGTTCGAGTCCTGGACCCGGTGGCTTAAACTCACACCGGACGCGTGTGCATGCGTGCCCAAGATCCCGAGAAGAGAATGGAGGAAAAGGGATTGTGGCGTGGCCATCCCCCCCTGGGGGGTGATTTCTCGCTTTCTGTCTCTCTGTCTCTCTCTGTCTGTCTGGTGAGCGCACGCACCCTATAGCAAAAACCTCTCAAAAAAAACAACAAAAAAAAATTATTTTAGACCTCAGGCAGTGGGTCCCAAGGAGGAGTTGGGTAAAGCAGGGGACCGAAGGACAGGCTGCAGAGCCCAGGCTGGGAGACAGTTAGTGATGGCCAGGGGAGGCCTTAGACCTCAGGCAGTGGGGCTCAGAGGGACCCATAGACGACAAGCCAGAGAACGAATGAGACCTGAGACCCCAGGACGCCCCCAGGACAAGCCACGTCCCTAGTGGAGACCAGAGCCTGGCCACGTGTCCCTCCTGGTCCTGGTCGCTGTTGTTCTTAGAGCTTTCTTGCCTGAGCCTGGCCACCTCGGGCTGGTATGAGGAAGCTGTGTCCCCGCATGACGCAGGCTGGGCCCGAGCTGTCCAACCAGTTGGATGAGCCTGGCTCCTGGGCTGCCCAGGGGTCAGGGAGGGGTTGGGGTGACGGGGTGACCTGACCCCTGCTGTACTACATCAGCCCCTTGCCCACAAGGGTCACAGGCCACTGAGATCCTGCCAGGAGGTAACTGGGCCCTAGGAGCCCTGGCTGTATTCCTGGTCATCTAAGGGCAGCAAGAACCACCTTCTACCTCGGCTGTAATAACATCATTCAGCATTCAAATAAGACCAAGCGAGGGGCAGCAGGTGCTGCAGTGGTATGGGCGCTGGACTCCCCCATGGCCGACCACGGTTCGAGTCCCAGACCTGGTGGTTTGCTTTCTCACTTTCTTCTCTCTTTCTGGTGAGCACACATGCCGTATAGCAAATTTTGAAATAATAAATGAAATTGAATAAATATATTTTTTTAAATGAACGAAGGGATCAACAGATGGCATAATGGTTATGTTGCTGGACTCACACATAATTGACCATAGTTCGAATCCTGGACCCGGTGGCTTAAAACAGGCTGAGTACATGTACGTGCGTGCCCAAGATCCAGGGAGGAGAACAGAGGAGAAAGGATTGCAGTGTGGTCATCCCCCTGGAGGGTGATTTCTCACTTTCTGTCTTTGTCTTTCTGGCAAGCACACACACCCTCAAGCAAAAATCAATCAAGAAAAAAATAGTGGGACCAGCAGTTAGCATAATGGCTATGTCACTGGACTCCCATGTAGTCGACCACGGTTCACGTCCTGGACCCGGTGGCTTAAAACTCACGCCGGGCGCGTGTGCGTGCGTGCCCAAGATCCCGAGAGGAGAATGGAGGAGAAGGGATTGCGGCGTGGCCATCCCCCCTGGGAGGTGATTTCTCGCTTTCTATCTCTCTGTCTCTCTCGGTCTGGTGAGCACACGCACCCCAAAGCAAAAACCTCTCCAAAAAAAGAAAAAATAAATGGAAGTAGCAACTCCACGTTTCCTTCACCGGGGGCGGGTCAAAATAGAATGTTAAGGGGAAGAGACACTGAAATTTTTGACACATTTCTACACTGATGTTGGGGTGGGAGCACCATGCCACCGGCTGGCCCCAAGTCTGGCTTTTTTAAAAAAACTTTTTAATGAATTATTTAACTTTGTTCTTATTTGTTTGTTTGTTTGTTTTAAATTTGACCCGAGAGGGACAGAGTGAGAGAGAATGAAAGAGAGGGAAAGCCAGAAAGCAAGCTGCCGGGTCCAGGACTCAAACCGCGGTCGGCCATGTGAGAGTACAGCGCCCTCTACCACCACGCCACCTGCTGGCCTCCAGCCTAGCTTTTCCAAAACAAACAAACAAAGTCACTTCCTTGAGACAGAGACAGAAAGACAAAGACAGAAGACAGGCACCCTCCGCCTGGCTCTCACACCATGGTCTGCCTTTCTCCTCCAACGTGGATCATGGACATGCGCACACCAGGCTTTGGGAGGCCCCAGGACGCGAACCCTAGACCTTTCCCACGTGGGTCCAATTGCAAGACCGCTGAGCCTCCACTTGGCCCCTGCACCCGTGTCTTCCTGTGCATCACCAACAAATGCCCCCCCCCTTTCCCCGTTCTGGAGATAACAGCTCGACTTTGGTCTTAGGGTTCCACCTGAGCGGAAGCGTCCGGGAGCCAGGAGGCCCTGGGGAGCCCGAGCGCCTCTACCATGTCTCCATCAGCTTCGACCGCTGCAAGATCACCTCCGTGAGCTGCGGCTGTGACAACCGCGACCTCTTCTACTGCGCCCACGTGGTGGCGCTGTCGCTCTACCGCATCCGGCACGCCCGGCAGGTGGAACTGCGCCTGCCCATCTCCGAGACGCTGTCGCAGATGAACCGGGACCAGCTGCAGAAGTTCGTGCAATACCTCATCAGCGCACACCACACCGAGGTGCTGCCCACGGCCCAGCGCTTGGCAGACGAGATCCTCCTGCTAGGTTCCGAGATCAACCTGGTGCACGGTGAGAGCTCCCAGGGGCCTGGTGGGGTCAGCCACTTCGGTATTGGTCTTGGCACCCGCAGTGAGAGGGACCACCCTGGGCTGCAACATCGAGGTTGCACACCTACCTGGCCTTGGGGCAATGCGTGTCCACGCAGAGGGCAGGGCTGGAGGGACCAGGCTGGGATCACAGGAAGCAGGCCTGGGTGCCAGAGGGGCCAGGCTGGGATCACAGGAAGCAGGCCTGGGTGTGAGCGAGTAGAGGGCGTGAGTGTAGGTGTGGACATGAGTGGGTGACAGGGTGAGGCAGGAGGTGTTAGAACTGGAGGGTTTAGGGGCTCCTAGGGGCTGTGTTGCCTAGGTCTAAGGGTGAGAGGTTGGGGAGCTGGGTGAGAATTGGGGCGAGGCACCAGTGGGTAACAGGGTGGAGTCGGGTAGGGCAGAAAGTTGATGATGTGGGAGCAGCAGATGGTGGCGCTGTTATGTTGCTGGACTCCCACATGGCCGACTAGGGTTCAAGTCCCGGACCTGGTGGCTTGGAAATCATGCCTGATATGTGTGCATGCCCAAGATCCCAGGAGGGGAATGGAGGAGAAGGAATTGGAGCATGGTTTTCTCCCTTGGGGGCTGATTTCTCACTTTCCCCTGCTTACTGGCTCTCTCCAGCAAACAGGTGTGCCCTATATTTATTTATTTATGTATAATATATATATAAATGGGGTAAGTGGGCGGGTGGGTCAATGGGATGAGTATGCAGCTGAGTGGGCGGGCAGGAATTAGGGGGAGGGGATGATGGACTAATAGGGGTGGTGGCTGTGTGAGGGGTAGGTGTGTGGATGAAC